TTTTTTTTTTTTTGTGGCGCGTCTTCGTTGACGACCGGAGGCTACCTGCGCGATGACGCACAGGTGACGTACAGGTGACGAGAAACAAGTGAACGCAAAGACGCAGGATCAAAAGATTTACCGTGCGTGAGATGTTTCGTATTTGCTTTTCGGCTTTTATTTGCGGCAATGCGTCACCTTGCAATGTTTTAACATGTTGCGGTTTTATACATATATATAAGGAGAGAGAGAGAGAGAGAGAGAGAGAGAGAGAGAAGGAGAAAACAAAGATACCTAGATTTTATCACATGATAAATTAAATTCTTCTTCAGAAATCTTTCTTCGAAATATAAGAAGAATAAATTTATAGTTATTATAATATATAAACGTATGCATTTACGATTACTAAACTGTTTACGAAGACCATTCATTAACAAATAATTCTATCTTAAAGAAGCATAAAAGATTTTCATTGTTGCCTTTTTTTCGATACTGATTAGTTATCTCGATGCGCATTGTGCGTTACTTCGTATTATCGAGCGGTTGTCATTGCAAAAGCTGCGAACTTTGACAGTTCATATTTTAAAAAGGCTAGTAGTGTATTACATTCAAAAGAGAAAGCAAATGACGTAGACGTCTTTTGATTAATCATTCATTTTTACACAAGATTTATACAGCTTGCAGTTAGTGCAGGTATTATTTTGTGTTTTATATAAAATATTCAAAGTATCTCTTCTTTGAATCTTCATACATTTCCGAATTCTTTATTTAAATCCTTTTTAAGACTCTCTCAAAGACGCAACTCTACTAGTTTAATATACATGTTCGCTCGAAATGCGGTCCAATTATTTATTTTTGCACTATATATATATATTCTACACTATACATTTATATATAATACCCTAATCACAAGTTTAATCACGTGAACAACAGGACGTATTAATAATGCTGTATATAGTACTGTAAATTGTGACAATAATGATGGTGTAATAATATCTAAGTAATGATGATATTACATTATTTTTATTAAAGATGTAATATATATATATTTCTTTGTAACTAAAGAATAAATAGCGCGTGTGTATCTAGTTTATCAAAAAATACAACTCCGTCTTGTTTCATCAATAAATTGGCGTTTATTTCAGTATAAGCGATACTTATAATTATTGGAAAAATACATGCTTATCGCCACAAATATATTTCATTAGAATTAAGATTGTATTATCACGATATTCACATACATCATTTTATAATATAATTCGTCGTTTTATATAATTTTATATAATTTTAAAATGAGGCTAACTCATTCTCGAAAATATTCCAAGACCGTTATTTGCCATTCTTTTCATTCTTCCTTTTTCGGGGTTTGAAAGAAAACTATCCGAGAGCTACATTGATGGCACTAATCGCTTCTAATGAAAATTTGACAAAGAAAAATGATCCACTTTGAGTTTTAACATCCGTAAAATCTTTTTCATCCCTTATACTATTCAAATTTCACTTTGAAAATACCGAAACTGACTATCAGGAGCACGTCGAAAAATGTAGAACTCACCCGTGCTCAGACACGAGAGAGCAACTGAATTTTGTTGCGGCACATTTCTGCACAGGAATTTCTTCTCCCACAATTAAAAATTCCGTTCGTAGATCACGGCGTCCATTGTCAAAGGGAATCACTTCCAAAACTCTCACTGAATTTCCGGAAATTCACTCTCACTAATAATGTCTGTGCAGCTGCAACCGCGATGCACACCGCGTCGCGACAGTAATCTAGGATCTAGCGAGCAGGTGCACCTGCTGCTGGCGATAGACACGTCGTCCTCGTGCACGATTCGTCAGAGAAGGACGACGCTCCTTTATAAGACTCGACGACCGAGTCCACCGTCTCCGGAGGCATCGTCCACTGACGCGAGGCGAGGGCGTACGGGTACTTGAAATACAAACGAACCAACGGAGGTGGGTCCACCAGGGTTCCCTTTGAGAATCAGGTTATACCGGCAGAACCTGCTCTCGTCTCCGGTATACCGGCTTCGTACGCTACACTCCTTCCTTCCCGCGCTTGCCCCAATCTCCTTCTTCCGCGTAGTAGGTAGGTGCCTACCTACCTACTTCCCGCCGCCACCCTCTTCTTGGCATCTTTCTCTCTCTCTTTCTTTCTAACAACCAGTCTTGTTCCTTCCTCGCGAACATCATCGCGTCTCCGTTATTGACGGGGTACAGCACAGGGGAGATGAAACGAAAGAGAGAATGAACGGAAGACAGAGAGAGAGAGGAAGAGTGAGAACCGGCACCGTTCTATCTATGTGTTCACTCTCGATGGCTTCGTCCGGCTTCCTCGTTACGTCTATTATTATACCTGTCTATCCGTCAGAGCGGTGCCCGCGAGCTGAATTCCAGTTTTACGCGCGTGCCCTCCTCCGCGCGCGTGTTCGCGTATTATGCCGTAGTAGTAGGAGCAGATGGGCGAGCGAGTCGGCGAGAGAAGAGCGAACCGACTGGTTTTGCTAACCATCCACCTGGGCGAGACCGCGGCCGCGAGGACGTAGAATTCGCGGTGTCAGACTGGTTGACCGACATTCGTAGCGGCAAATCCTCACCCATAAATGAATAAAGCTATACCCGCTCACGCGTATATATATTTTAGTTTCCTACGACATCTATCTGTGATGCGAAAAGATGCATGCTCAACCTTTTGTAGAGTGACAAAAGCAAATTTTCTAGATAAAGCTAGACCAGTGATGGTAGAAAAAGACACGGACTACGACACAATCGAAAACTGCGTGCATGTGCTGCGCAGTGCGCTTTGCACATGCACTGCGCAGCCCACGTTGTTCTCTATTGTGCATAGTTCGCAACCACTGATACTTGAGAATTTTAGGCACAAGTCAGTTCGTAACGGTCAGTTAGTTACTTAGTAACAGTCTGGCTGTAAAGTGGATGTTCTAAAGAAATGATGCTATACTTTGATACACGTGCTCAAATGCATTAAAAGCATTTAAAGCGTGCTTTATTTACATAAAGTATAATAAATAACAAATAAATGGATATTTATTATTATATTAAGCTCAAACGGCTTAACTATCAATAGCATTTCAATGATGTCATCACATCTTTCTTTTACTATTTACAGATTTACAATTCTCGTCTATCAAACAATCGTGCCATATCTGCCACCTGTGATAGAATATCTCATTCCTCTCTATAAAAATACTAAGGGAAAGCAACTGGAATTTGCCGTTTTAAGAGACTGCACGATACAACGAGAAAAAATAATCGCAAGACGCTGGAGAATGTCGACGTGTACCGACGAGGCTGAAAACGCATCCCTGCATATGCAGGAAGCTTTATCACCGGTAGGTCTCCAATTCTTATCTCTATATAATAATATGTAAGTCGCAGACTTTCACTCACTAAATGAAATTGTCTGATTTTAAGGTTATCTTGCTATATATATGAAAAAATATAAAAAGAAATTATTGTGAAAACAAATGTATAAAACGTTCAATGTGCTAAACGCAATTTCTCTGTAAATTTCAATCAGATTTTATCGCTGTGTGTGACAGGAAAAAATAACAATAAAAAAATACATATATATAAGTATACATATATATAAATCTCGTATTTTTAGAAGTTTTATCATAAAGATATATTAATTTCTCTCTATATACAGCACGGTAATAGCCTTTATAAGAGTTGTTTTTGTCTAAGCATATATATTTCTTATTCCAAAAACAAAAGAACAAGAATGGCTTACAAACAAAGTTCATAAACCAGGATGACCACTCAGAATCATTGTTTCTTGCATAACGAAAAAAATAAGAGTTCTTATTTAAATTTTCACACATGTTGATTTCTCTTTGGAAGTATTTCGTGACTATACACACAGAAAAATATCATTCTGTTGCTAAGAAAAGTAATTACTCGGCTTACTTTTCTTTTTTTAAGTAACAATTATCTTTAATAAAGAATATTTTCTTGATAATAGTCTTAAAATATACTCATCACAAATTTTTCATAAACTTATTATCATATACTCAAAAGAAGTAATTAGTTTTTGGTGAAAAATATTATAAAATTGTATCAAAGAAAAGTCAGATTTGGTTAATTTAATAAGCAAATAGAATTCTTTTT